TTGGACAATTTTAAAGAGGAACTGTGGGACACGGTGGTGAAGTTCGGTGAACCTGTCCTGATGGGGACGGGTTTAGAGGAGAAAGCTAGAGGAGAGCTGCTGAGCAAGATGATCGAGTTGAGGAAAACATCAAGAAAGACCAGAGAAGACAAATGTAAAGACAGCTCTACTCCGAAACAGAAAACTGAAAATAAAATGATTGAATATACAAGGGGGGATAAGGTAGGAACTAGTAATATGATTAAAAGTACTAATATCCTTAAGGCTCGAGCAGGGGGGAGGCAAGAGTTGGCTGGAGAGAAGGAAGTTGAATCAGTGATGATAACGACGACGCCCCCGAATAAAGACGTGAGGTCTCGCAAGAGGAAGAGAGACGTGGAGGGATTGGGCAGTCCTTCAGCTGACGCGGTCTCGGAAAAGGACTTGAGAGAGACGGCCCCCATGGTTCTGGCGCGATGGAAGACGGCAGCCTACAAGAGTAGCTATGAACCGAGGAAACTGCACGACATAGAAAAAGAAATGGAAAACCCCACTAGCTCAGTGACGGAGGAAGATTTCAAACCTCAGAGAATAAAAATGAAGCGAGGTTTGATGAGCGGGCAGACCTGGGAGGTAGACGTCGGCAAAGAATGGGTCTCAAGTGAACATCAGGCTATTGGGAAACAAGTGACCAGCGATCCTCTTGAGAAGAACAAAACCAGATATACCTCCCGACCGTGGTGGATAGCCCTTGGGACATTGAAGGAAATGGAAGACTGCTTGAAGAAATTGAACAGTGGAGTAGCCCGCAAACGACACAGTTGGGCCACCCAGCAGAAGGCTGAGGTTAACAAGATAGAATTGGCGAACCAGCTGAAGAGATCCTGGCAAAACTTATTGAAGGATCATTTTGAAGAGGCTATGAGGACACCCTCATCGGCACCGCCGCTGATGGCGAATCCCTTTATCAGGACTGCAGGACAACTGATGTTCGCGTGGAGCCTGTTGGGGATAGAGCTGGAGACACTGACTTCGTACGATACGCTGAAGCTGGGAGGCAAAAATCTAGAGATATATCGAATGCTGATGCAGCACGTCGCCAGGGACAACTCAGGCTTGAGTCTGGCAAGAAGGAAAGATGCAACCTGTTTCTTGAGATGGACGATGTCGATGATGACTGACAGTACCATCCTAGCATGTCATCAGAGAGCAGTTGGAAGCAAGACGCTGGAAAGGAGAGTCTCCACAGTCATCTTGAATGTGTACCAGAGTACTGGAATAGAGAGGGAGGATGGTTCTAGGCAATCTCTGGAGAGCCATAGGAAGTTAGATGAGATACGAAGGTTCTACAACAAGAAGTTCGAGGAGAAACACGACGTTCACCGCAACCTGGCTTCGTCAGGGGAGTACTTAAAACTCAACAAAAAGGGAGAGTACCAGTATGTTTCTGGAGTGATGGGAATGGCGTACAACCCCTTCTTGGACTTGGAAGCCGGAGGTGCCCACAGAAACTATGAGGTGGCGGAGCTACTGAAGTTCTGGACAGAGAAGATAATGGAGATAGACACTGTGGAGAGAGAGAGACCTAGCCTGGGTCTGATTCTCGAGAGAACGCCGGACGTGATAAGTGTGCCACGCTCAAGTAAAAGAGTGGAACTAAAAATGGGTAACGAGAATGGCGTGTTGACCACGAATCTGGGAGTGGTATGGAAATTACTCAGACCCTCCTGGTGTCCACATCCCCATGCGAGCCTGATTGAGGAGGTCACTGAGCGAGTGAGATTGGCACCGACAGAGGATGAGGATTTGGCGACCTTGAGTATAGTACATAGACTGATCCTGCCTCAGATGAAAGAGTCGAGTGAGGTGACGAGTGGAACAGGGTCGGTGAAGAGGATGGAGCCGGGCAGTTGTCTTGATTCGACATGTGGCAACGGCGAGCATACTTGTGATGGACGATCATGCGTCAGGATACAGTCGTTCCAGAAAGAGGACCTCATCACCTGGTTTGAGGATATCACCGAAAGGGAGAAGAGCGAGATACAGATAGTGGCTGAATGTTACGCGAGTAGCACCGTGAACCTAGCGACAGCCTTGGGATTTTTCTCAAGAATGTGTAGTCTCCAGTCACTGGAGAGGCTAGAGTCAGAACACCACCTGGTGACCGCGTTGAGCGTGGAATCATTGCCCGGAGTGTTACAAGTGAACCAGAAGCACATCAAGAGTTGGAAGATTGGACTCGAGGCGGAGATGGGATTTCCCATGAGCGAAGCCTATGGATTGCCTCTAAATGCGAAATCCTTAGTGGGGTCAGTGTTGGCTAACCTATGTGGAAGCCACTATCCACTACACATGGCGATGGTGGAGGTGTCCAGCCAGAGGGTATTGATAGACAAAGCCTTCTCAGTGCCCAAGTGCGTGAGACTAGCTCGGATGTCGCATCATTCACACAAGCTGTTGAGGAAGATCCGAGGAGCAGTACCGAAGGAACAAAGAGACGACTTGAGTGAAATCTGGGGTGAAGAACTCCTAGGCTTGGAGAGCGAAAACACAAGTGATCACGGAAGGCAAAACGTGGTGGGGAAACCCGCAGTAGGTGCTCGAAGCTCGGAAGAAGTCGACGTGATACACGAGAAAATGATGGAACTTGAGCCTCTCCTAGAAGCCTCGGGAGAACGAAATCTTAGAAGCATCGACCTCACGCATGGGGATTGTCCATGCCACTGTCTGGCGCAGACAGTGTGGTACCCAGACCGCGCCAATCTCTGTCTGATCTGGGACATAGAAGAAATTAAGTCGTTGGGACTACCGGAGCATCGACAAAAGGTGACCATCTTGGTGGTGAGCACGATGCTGGCTCTACGATGGATGGAAGAAAACATAGCGAAGTATAGAGAATCAAGAACGCCAACAGCTGAGTCGATTCATGCGATAGATTACAGCAGGAGACTTGAGTTGTTCGAGACCGCATGCAAGGTATTCGCCATACCAGTGGAGATCAGACATATATGGAGCCGCCTGAGATTCTTTCCTTGGTTTCGTGCGACGTTAACATCCTGGTTATATCTGGTGACAAAGGACCACATGAGGAAACATCAAAAGGAATATCGACAATTCCAAGCCGAGATAGGACCAGATGCCTTCAAGAGACCTCTGCTAACCCATCGAAATGCGATCACGACGGGGTGGAAAAGAGTGGGCAGAGTATCCAGAGACAATTCTAGAGCGATAGAATCGATACTAGAGGAGGACCTGGCGAAGAATATAAGCATGAGTCTTCACAATTCCTTCTGTTTGAACCGGGAGTCGAAGGTAAAGAGCTTACCAAATCAATCGAAGAGGTTACAAGAGCAGAGGGAGTGGATGCGATCCTATGAACAGCTGAAGGCCTGGGAGGAAATTGTGATCAGCTCCGATGACGAGGAGGCACTGTTGGAACAAATTACAGTGTCAAGAACACCGGTGTCGGGTACCTCGAGGGCGAAGGACACGAGGTGAGCCGGTGGCTCGAAGGGAAAATTCTAGAGTCTTGATTCTTGAGAGGGAGGGGGCTCGAGGGTGAACTCGGATGAAATCCGGGTTCACGAAAAAGAAATTTTAGACGAATAAGATATTGTTATTAATATGATAGATCTATTATATAAATCAAAATGATGCATGACAATTTCCTGACTGAATAGGACAAAAGAAATTTTAAAATTACCAGCTTAAAAAGCGGGGATTCATGGGTGCAGGTGTGTGCAGATTTTGATTGCTGTTTAGCGATAGTGTGAAAAATTTATATGGTTGTGAATTTTGGAAGGTAGATAAACTTAAGTCCGATGCAAACTTCTGTAAATGACCACTGGCACTGTATCTTGAGCAACATTCGATTCTCTGGGACTCACTGGCAGATGACAACACGCGATGAGGACATCGATCTCGAGTCCGGGGAGTATGTGCCAGTCGGTCATGTCTGGAGGTTTGACCATGAGAAACACGTAATTTTGGAGTGAAGTTTTAAATTTAAAAATTTCGAATGGAGCCTGTCATGCTCAGTTTTCTCGAACCAACTGAAAACAAAAACTGAAAAATCAGAACGACCGAATTAACAATTGCGGGAAACTACTCAAGAAAAAGGCAGGAAATTGCTATTCGCAATTTCTCGATACGAAATAATAAGAGAGTAGAGCTGTCTTATCCCGAAAACAGGAGAATATAACACAGACTTGAGAAAGGACGATTATTCGAACGGAACAGAGTGAACATTCAATGGAAGAGAGGACAACTCGAGTGTCCCGATGGTTCATACAGAAACTTTGATTCTTGAGACAAAACTTACTTCTGTTGTTAAAATTAATTAGCATCAAACTTATTTAGTTATATTATTTAATCCTCGAGCTACTTATCTTTTAATTACTCCTCATACTCAAGCGCATCGACATGTGAGTTCTCAATTTAAATTTCTCGAGTGTATTTTATGATAGTTATGTTGAGATAAGGCGAGTTTTAGGTTGATCCATCTGAAATGGATCAAAGTTCCACTGTCCAATAAAAAGTAACTAAGCGGATTGTTCCGACCCGGTTTTTAACGGCGTTCATGTATTTTGGGTATCTCGAGACCTAAGTATGGAGACGTTTTTATTTCTAGAGTGGGGGGGTATTTTGGTAGTGGCCTTTAAGCTGTAACGGGTCGTGGTCTCATGTCATAAGCGAACCGAATTGGCTCCGACCGTTCTTGAGGTAGAAAAACACAAGAGATAGTGTCCCTGACTCTTGAGCCAATGGTTATAGGGCCTATTTTTCTTAAGCCTCATGTGTGACTGCAGTAGACGAATGTTACAAAATGTAACATCGAAAAGAAGAGGTGAGACATTGCAACCCATTTCAGAAGGTCAACTCAGCTGAGAAGTGGCGAGCGCGAGACCTGGATCAGCTGATCCAAAGCTTAAACTACTACAACTACTACTACGCTTGTTTCTTTTTGAAAGCCTCGCTATCGATCATCATAATTAACACAATGTTCATTAACTGATTTTTTCAGATTTATGTAGCATCTGACTCATGGGGAATCATTGGGATGAGACATTTGGCTCTTTAAGTCAGGGCACAAGTATTGACATACAAAGAAGCGACGGTAAGGCTTTAAAACTGCATTTTTCTGAAATCAAATCCTTTAATTCAAAAGACAGTTTCTCCGAATGATTTTTATAGGAAGAGTACATGCAGCTGTCGTCGTGGATCTAAACAATGAAAATGGAATGGTCACAGTTGAATGGTTCGAAAAAGGTGACACGAAAGGAAAAGAGGTAATATGCAGCTCCGAGTGATTTTTTTTACCAGGCTTATGTTTCTGGATAGTTCTAAATAACATTAAATGATATCGATAAAAAATCAGGATTATCTAAACAAATTCGTTGAAATCAAATACAGCCATTTCCCCGATTTTTTTTTCAATTATAGCAAATTTAAAGAAAAGAAGAGACTTATGTAGGTCCTGCAGTTTTCTCTAACTCGGATAACCTGAAAAAAAAATGTCAATCACAAACACTTTAGAAATTCAAAGAGCTATAACGTGATTATCTTTAAATCATTTTTTTTTCTGGTTTCAACAGTTTTTCAGCTGTGATTTTGATTTTAAATGCTATAAACTCCATTTTGAAGCAAGTTTAGCTGCCGCAGGTTTTCTAGTTGCAATTATCCATGCGCGCAAAGGTGTTCCAGTTTTCTCTAAATGGGATAGCTTTAAGGGAAAGATTGAAGAACTCTAACGTGACATATCTTTCAATCATTTTTTTTCCATTTCTTTGAGTTCTTCTATAGTTTTCCAATCAGTTGTTGACCATGTTCATAATTTAAGAATAGGTTTCAGTACAGTTTTTTCAGATGTGATTTTGATTGTAAAGAGCGTAAGTCCCATTTTGATGCAATTTTATCTGCAGTTGGGCTCTCTTTTTAATATCTATGCGATAAGCAAGGGTGTTCCAACCGTGTACTAAACTTTTTTCAGTAAATATCTTTGTTCATAAGAATTCGCAGATGGATTAGCGGTAACACACCTGCATATGACGATAAAGACTTGTGGTTCGAATCCGGTGGTCTGTTTTTTTTTGCAAACTAGAAGTTTTTGTTTTCTTTTTCGGACTACTGTGTTCTACTAATTGGCGAAGTTTTAATAAATGGCGATGAACCTAGTTCAGACTCTTATGTAAGTCGTGATGTTTTTTTCTTCTTTTTTTACGAAAAGTTTTAAAATGCTCTAATAACAAAAGAAGTGCAAACGGGCGGGTAGTATTTTTTAACGAAAAGTTTTAAAATGCTCTAATAACAAAAGAAGTGCAAACGGGCGCTAATTTTTTGCTTTCGGCGGCGGACAAGTTATTTTTCATTTTCTGCATGAAAAAGGTCTGCCAATAGGAACTTATTACGGTTTTCTACAATTCTGATTTGATAAAAGGTTTTATCATTCGGTTCCTTCGTCATGAGAATAGCCATACTAATTCACCAGAAATTTTAACCTAGAAGCCATTTTGTTGTTTTTGAAGTTTTTTGGCTAGAATGTTATTTGTTGCATGCTATGCTAAGTTTTCATTAACAGTCTGAGTTTGCTTCTTTATTTTAGGACAATTTTTCAAATTTTGGGTTTTCCAAGATTTTATTTTTTCCCGCATCTATTTTTTGGATTATAAATAGATTTAAACTGGACGGTTTTTAATATAGGTGGCAGATTGTTCATCTGGAAAATTTCCTTGTTTTACTCTGCTCCAATAAAAGCTATAGAATCTATTATCTAGGCTTAACTATCTCGCCATGTTTTTCAAGGTATTATTTTTACATGCTAGCTTTCACATTTAAGGCTTATCGTATATTGCAATTCTTTTATTTTTCAATTTTTCGGTTATAAGTAGATTTAAACTGGGTGTTAGATTATTAATATATGTGGCAGATTTTCTCTCTGGAAAAATAAATATGTATTTTTTTTACTGTTTATCAGTTAAAACTATAGAATTTCATATAACCAATTGTGGGCTTCACTTTATCGCCATACATAAGTGTTTTCAAAATATTCTTTTTTAATGTTTGAATTCAGTGTTCGTTTCACCAAATGGGAAATGAGTGAACCAATAGTGGGATGTTGTCGGGTTCCCCGGGATTTGAGAATTTGGCCTCCAAATATTATTACCCAAATCTTTTAGTTTACGCGATGCGACAATTTTTTGTGATTTTTCTTCAGTTTTTTTTAGAAAATACGAAATTATATATCACTTCAGCTAGTTGCTGCCAGGGTGGGATTAGAGGTTGGTAATTTTTCCCCTAATATTGACTGCCGAAATGTTTTTACTTTCCGAGATGACGCTTTTTTGATTTTATAAAAAAAATTGCAAGAAGTTAGATATTAAAAAAGTTCATAGTGCGTTACTCTCAGAGCTTGCTGACTTTGACTCCAATTTTGGTTGCGCAATCTATTTAATATTCCAAGATCTGCTGTTTTTTATTTTTCAGTAAGTTTCAGACAATTTGGTTCTCGAAAACTTCACAGAGAATGAAGTTCTGAATACCGTGTTGGAGTGATGTCGAGGTGCTTTCATAAGGTGTATATCTGGGCTCCAAATTTGTCTGTTCAATGCCTTTTATTTTTATAGATCATTTTCTTAATGATTTTTTGAAAGTGTTGTATCAAAGAACACTTTTTGTAATTGTGGACATTTTTGTGTGGTGATGTCAGATTACTTTTGGTGATATCAGATTACTTTTGTTTGCTGTCGGCCATTTTAGGGTTTTGTTTCAGAGTTTCAAAAATGAAGAATTGAAACCCAGTGTTTTTGGAGACTTGACCATTTTAATTTGAACAGAACCTGGAAGTTGAATGATTTTTATCGATCTTTTTTTTTGAAATAAAAAGCATGGTTGGATACTTCACCTATTGTTACGGTTGCGTTCATTGATTGATTTTTTTGCATATTCTGTACATAAGAAAGTTTCACGTTCATTTATAAGGCTGGTCATGTTCTTCTCTAGCCACCCTGATTGCAAACAATTTACTTTATAAAATATCCCTGCAATAGGCAGGAATGTTGCAACCGTGTACTAGATCTTTATTCTACGTAAACAACATTGTTCAAGATTTCGCACGTCAAAGTTGAACGTTTTTCAACTTGATTCATTTTAAGTTCAAAATCAATCAGCTGTCCACTGCATTGGGCGTAAACTAATACACCTGCTTGAGACGATAAAGGGTTGTGGTTCGAATCTGGCCTGGACCTGTTTTTTTTTTGCAAACTAAAAGTTTTAGTTTTCTCATTTTTCGTGCCATTTGCTGTTTCTTCTTGCAGTCTGCGTGTTTGTTTGTTTTCGTCGGCTTAGTTCTCGCAGCCCAATTTTTTTTGAAGGTTCAGCTTTCTTTTCTATATTTCTCAATGGCATTCTTAAAGTCATTTGTTGAGGAAATAAGTGAACCAATTTATATTATTTTTGTTATTATCCCCCGTCCTGCTCAGTGAACCAATGAAAGGGGAGTGAACCAATAAAGGGATGCTGTCGGGGTTCCCCGGGAGTTGAGAATTTGGCGTCCAAATACTACTACCCAAATTTTTTAGTTTACGCGATGCGACAATTTTTTGTGGTTTTTCTTCAGTAGTTTTTTTTTAATGGATTTAAAAAAAATACGAAATTTTATAACCCTACAGCTTATTGCTGCCAGGATAGGATTAGGGGTTGGTAATTTTCCTTCTAATTGTGACTGCCGAAATGTTTTTACTTACCGAGATGACGCTTTTTTGATTTAAAAAAAAAGTTGCAAGAAGTTAGATATTTAAAAAGTTCTTAACTCATAGTGCGTTGCTCTCAGGGTGATCAGATTTTGCTGATTTTGACTCCAATTTTGGTTACTCAATCTTTTTAATATTCCATGATCTGCTGTTTTTTTTTCAGTAAGTTTCAGACAATTTGGTTCTCGAAAACTTCACACAGAAATAAGTTCTGAATACCGTGTTGGAGTGCTGTCCAGGTGCTTTCAGAAGGTGTCTATCTGGGCTCCAAATTTGTCTGTTCAATGCCTTTTATTTTTCTAGATCCATTTTTAATGATTTTTTAATAGTGTTGTTTCAAAAAAATACTTTTTGAAATTTTTGTGTGGTGAGGTGAGATTACTTTTGTTTGCTGTCGGCCATATCAGGGTTTTGTTTTAGAGTTAGAAAACGAAGAATTGAAATCCAGTACTTTTGGAGACTTGACCATTTTAATTTGAACAAAACCTTGAAGCTGAAAGATTTTTATCGATCGTTTTTCGAAATAAAAAGCATGGTTAGATACTTCACCTATTGTTACGGTTGCGTTCCTTGGTTGTTTTTTTTTGCATTATTTGTAGATAAGAAAGTTTTACGTTCATTTATAGGGCTGGTAATGTTCTTTTCTAGCCACCCTGATTGCAAACAAGTTAATTAGTTAAATATCCCTGCAAAAGGCAAGGATGTTGCAACCGTGTACTAGATTTTTATTCTACGTAAACAACTTTGTTTAAGATTTCGCACGTCAAAGTTGCACGTTTTTCAACTTGATTCATGACAAGTTCAGAATCAATCAGCTGTCCACTGCATTAGGCGTAAACTAATACACCTGCTTCAGGCGATAAAGGGTTGTGGTTCGAATCTGGCCTGGACCTGTTTTTTTTTGCAAACTAAAAGTTTTAGTTTTCTCATTTTTCGGGTCATTTGCTGTTTCTTCTCACAGTCTGCGTGTTTGTCTGTTTTCGTCGGCTTAGTTTTCGCAGCACAATTCTTTTTGAAGGTTCAGCTTCCTTTTTAATTTCTCAAAGGCATTTTTAAAGTCATTTGTTGAGGTAATTGAGTTACAAGATTTTAGTTTAAAAAAGTTTCACCTTTTTATTGCTCCGTTCAAAATATGTGCACGGAATTATTGCGTGCGCTCGAATACTGGTTCAAATTTGGCTACGGTCACGGTTGGAGGGTTCCCAGTGTCATCCGCTTCCTCAAAGTGGTACCGGCTGCGGCAAATTTGATGACATTTCTCTCCCCCACTGATAAAAGCCCCAAAGTTGATTGGTGGTAGTTGGGCTGTGGCTAATAAAAAAATGCGTATGCCATGATTAAGCTCGCTATTAGTAAAGTTTGTTGAACGAGAAAAAAAGATTATTTCTGAGTTTTCTTGTTGTTCTTGCGTCGGCTAGTATGAAGGGAATTATTACGTATGCGATCATTATGCCCGCAATTAGCAAGCGTTATCAATTAGAAACGTAGACCTTTTTCTTGCAAACTCTTTGTCCTGTAAACAAACTGTCTATAAGTAACTGAATCATTTTCTGATGTCTGCACTTTCGTCATTTAACAGAATTATTTTGAGTACGTCAGCATCTCAAATAACCGTTCTATTATTTTCCGTTTTTCATTTTTTTTGTTTACTTGGCTTAAAAGTTTTTGGGTTTGTACCTAATCGGCTTAGTGGCATCATATTGCCTCGTTGGATGAGTGAAACAAGTTGCCTATGCTTATGAGTGTTTTGAGGGTGCACTTAATTTTTTTAATTTGAATTTTTTTAACCACATAAATTTTGGCTTCATATTCTTTAGCGACACGTTTAATTTGAGCCTGAATATTTGCAAAATTTTTTTTGATTTATTATTGGGGATCCTCAAAAAGCATCAAGCTTTCTTTGCTCAGTAGAATCGAATAATTAGCTGTGATCAACTCATTGACAAAAGAAAGGTAAAATCAAAATAGTTAATCTAAGAGAATGATTTGATAAGTAAACGTTATTAGTAGCATATGAAATTTATTGCAAATGAAATTTTTAATTAAGTTATCAAGATCGCAACGTAAAAATCTAAAAGTTTCTCGAAGTGTCCCCCTAATTAGACAAGCAATGCTAGTGTTATAATATGAACTATCTTTTTTTCCAACCTAAGTCGCAAATATTGTTGCGACGCAAATATTGTTGCGATTAATTGTGTTCATTTTGATCAATAATCATCTATTAAGTACAGCCAATGTAAGGATTTTAACACAGCTCGGGGTGTTTTTTTTTCAGACAAATTTCGATTGGACCACATGGAGACGAACTCGATGATTCGTCTATTTTTGACGGGATTTTTCTTTATATCATTCAAAAGTATTGTTGTCCTGAGCTTAAATTTGGAAAGATATTTTACCTGTGATCGTTTTTATTAAAGTTATGGGATTTTAAAAATTGCCAATTTGGGACAGTTAACGCGCGATATATTTCGGAAGAGGATATTTAATTCGTCAAAGAAACCGTTTCAAATTGGTTGAAGGAAGCTTATTTGTCATAGTTAATTTGTTGCTAGGAGCGAAGTTCATCACTTTGTACGTAATATGACGTATGGGCCGATGATATTCACAAAAAATCTCAAATTAAAAAAAATTTAGTTTCATTTTTATTACATTTAATTTAACATGTTATTACTGCTCCATAGACTGCTCTATAAACTGAGGCATGTGTTTGGTGTTTTTTTTCGAAATTGACTGCTACTGTGTCGTAATTGGCGTGCGTCACTTCAGAAATTTTGTAGACTCAAAGTTTTCCTCAGTCAGTTTTTCCCAGTAGCGTTATCGGTCATATTTTTCTGTATATTATTTTGCCCCAAACCTTACGTGATTGTTTTTGTGAATATCAAGCGCTGTAAAACAACGCTTCTTTTCCATTTTTTATACCTCTGATGATCGCTAGCTTTGGTTTGTGTTTAGATTGAAGTCAGTCAGGTGAAGACTCTGAACCCTACATTTTGGAACAAGCCAGTGAATGAGAAGGAAAGCAACAAGCCCACTGCCAAATTACCACACAAAGGAAAAGGAAGCAAAGTAAAGAGTTGATATGAACCACTCATCTTAGTGATTTAAAATTCTGGATTTTTATGGCTGCTTTTGTGTTTGCAGGGAGATGAAAGTGTGGCAGTGGCTAGTCCGCGTAGTCACCATGATACCACAGTATCTCAAAGTCAACCGAAGGGCTCTCAGGGAAGAGTGGCCACTCGCAATGCTCACAGAAAGGAAAACGTCGTCCCCACACACCAGAACTCGAAGTCTGGTGCGGATGATGAGGTAAACTCAACAGTGATCACAGGAGCCAAGTCACAATCTAATGTCTCTTCAACTGGACCACATGGAGACGAACTGGATGATTCGTCTATCCGGTCCAATGGTGCTCCCAGGACCAAAAGTAGGGAATTGCAGTCAAAAGTACCTGACTGAATATAATAAGTAATGAATATAATAGCGATACCAAGCTAATCTAAGTTACTTTTTATCCCATTGGGTTGTTTTCCAAACATTCGAGGGTCCAAGGAATTCCTCATGCGCGAAGGACCGAATGCGCGAAAAATTTGTCAGACAATCAGAGTTCTTTATTGCGCTTGCAATTAGTTATCGCAATGGTTACCAATTTATAAGAGTAATGAACATAGTGAAGACTCTTGTATATATAATATAGGCCTTAGTGATTTTTTTGAAAATTTCTTAAAATTTGTTCACGCTCAGTTTTGATGTTTCGCGGTTTGACTTTGATTTCTTTAAGTTTATATTCCTTGTTAAAATGAAAGCAAACTCCACTATTGAGCCGCAAAAGTGTAAGGGTCACGAAAAACATTCTTGACTTCTAGTTTCACAAGTGGATTTTAATGTTCAGATTTCCTGGCGTAATTAAGTATTTACAGTAGTTAATTTTATCCATAAAGCACGAATCGTATATTCTTCAAATTCTAAGAACTGTAAGTGAATATGGTTTTCTCATTAAAATTCGAAAAATTTTTCAGAAATAAGTGTTTGCTTGCGTTCATTACTCTTTTCCAACTGTCAGTTGGCTATGTTTTAACAAAATCATTTGATAGTTTAATTTGTAACACTTGATCTAGAGGTAATGACAGCATATGGGGCAGCAAAGGCCCTGGGTATGAATTTGGCATAGAACCTGTTTTTTTCCAATCGGTAAAATTTTTGTTTCAAAAATTTTCGCCCCATTGTTTGTCTGCTTTGTTTTGTCGGCTTGTGCTTTATCGCGGATTTTTTCTGAGCTACAAACCAATCTTCGTCGTTATTGAAATTATTTTTGATCATGTGTGCTTTGTAAATTTACTAAATCTGATGAAGTGCCAATGGACGTAGTGAAGACATTTAATTTAAGTCGTGATGACTTTTTTTGGAAAAAAGTCTTAGAAGACCATTTCATTTGTTGAAAAGCTCCACTATGGAACAGCAAAAGTGAAAAGGTGATGAAAAAAGTGAGTGCGTTCTTTTTTTCGAAAGATGATTTCAATGTTTAAATATGAAATGAAGTCAGCCAAATAAACAATCCCAGGAACTAAATAAATTCTACTGGTCAAGTTTTCTCTTGGGTTTATTTACTTGACGTTGTCAAAATAAATGACAATTATAATTTAGTTTTGAAATTTGAAGAGCTTTAGGGGAATTAATGTGTTTCTTCGAAATGCGAAATCTGACGGTTTTTCAAAAAACAAGTTAGTATTTTTTTGTTTCCTTGCGTTACACTTGTCTGCAAGTGTAATAGACTATGGGAAATAGACTTTTTGACTAAAACAACCGGATTTTAAAAATAATTTAGAAACTGATCATGATTTATTCAGGCTCTTTCTCACTTGGTCTGGAGGTAATGCTGTTATCTTCTGAAATTTAAGTCTAGTTTAAGAAATTGGATTTTGTGACAAAATTTGGTGTTGAAAGTGTTTTTTATTTTTGAAAACTCGAATTGTCCGAAAACTTGAATCCTTTGTCTTCTAGTATGGATGTTATCCATAAAAAGCATGGGTGTTTTCTTCAAAACATCGTTTTTCTTCTGGCTTAAGCTGTTTTAACTATAATTGAAAGTCATTCTGTAGTTTGTAAGTTTACGAACTCTGATTTTGTTTTTTTTTGTATTTTCATTTTTTTGTTTAAGCGTCGATGCGCATAGTTCAGACGGTAGGGCGACAATTCGTAACTGGCGACCATTCGTAACAAGGCATTGGCAAGTAGAATACGCTTGCTTCGCTGAGCTTTTATCCGGCACGAGAGGAATATCTATTATATATTTAAATGCAGGCTTCACTATCTCGCCATCTTTAAGCTTTTCCAACGTAATATTTTTGCATGTTTAACGAAAGGAGTTTTTCACGTTTAAGCTGTATCGTATATTGCAATTATTATTATTTTTTGGATTTTCCAGCTTGAATTCAGTGTTGATTAAACCAAGTTAAAAATTAGCAAACCAATATTGCGTTGCTTTCAGAATTCCCCCAGGGTTTGAGTTTGGGGCTTCCGAATAGGAATACCCAATTTTTTTTAGTTTACGAGATAAGACGATTTTTCAGAAAACTTTGGTTAACCAATTCCACAAATTTCGAAATTCTCAACACTGTAGTTGAATGCTGGCAGAGTACTCTCAGGGGTTTTAAATCTTGCCTCAAAATATGACTGCTCAAATCCTTTTAGTTTACGAGATGGGAGATTTTTTATGCTTTTTTAAACATTTTCCAGAAAATATTTTGAGATATGAAGTTTCCAACCCTGTAGTCAGGTGCTGTCGAGGTATTCTCAGGAGTTGCAAATGTTGCCTACAAAGCAGACTGCTGAAATTCTGCTTTTGGTTTCCAAGATTTTGACGTTTTTTTTTTCAAAATTGTATAGAAAACGTAGTTTTAAAAAATTTCACAAAATCGAAATTCGGAACCCTGTAGTCAGGTGCCCTCAAGTTTCAAACAGGGCATCCAAATCTTGACTCAAAAGGCAACTGCTCAAATGCTTCTGGTTTCCGAGATATGACATTTTTTTCAATGTTTTTCTAAATTTTCAAAAAAAAACTTCAATTAGAAAGCAGAAAACGTTTCAAATTTTGAACTTTCCAAACCTATGGTGAAGTGGTCTAAGGGTACTCTCATCTCAGAGTTTGCAGACCTTGCCTCCAAATTTCATTGCTCAAGTCGTTTTTCTGAAATATATTGAGAAAAATTTCAAGTGTGTTAAGTTCCAAAAAAAAATACTTTTCAAAATTTAAAATTGGCGACTCTATTGGTTATGTCAGGTTACCATAAGCGGATGCAGATTTGGTCTTCCATCCTAGTTTTATTGATCAATTGGATTTTTTGATAATATTTCAAAATATCTATTATATATTTAAATGCGGGCTTTACTATCTCGCCATGTTTAAGCTTTTTCAACGTATTATTTTTGCATGTTTAAGCTATATCGTATATTGCAATGGTTAAGATTTTTTGTCGATTTTCCAATTTGATTTTAGTGGTTATTTTACCGAGTTTAAATTAAGCAGCCCAATATCGAATTAGGGGTTGCGATTTTGGCATCCAATTTTGAATGCCCGAATCATTTAAGTTAACGAGATACGACGATTTTTGAGATTTTTTTCAAAAATTTTCAGAAATTTCAAATAACAAAATAAGTCACAAAACTTGAAGTTCCCAACCCTGCAGTTGGGTGCTGTCGGAGTACTCTAAGGAGTTACAAATCTTGCCTCCAAATATGACTGTTCAAATCCTTGTAGTTTTCGAGATATGACGTTTTTTGTGATTTTTTCAAAAAATTTTCAGAAAAGTTATATTAATTTTTTTTGCAAAATCTGAAATTCTCAACCCTGTAGCTGGGTCATGTCAGAGTAATCTCAAAGATTGAGGATCTTGCCTCCAAATATGACTGCTCAATTCTTTGTAGTTTTCGAGATATGACGTTTTTTGTGATTTTTTCAAAATTTTTCAGAAAACTTATATTATTATTAGTTTTTAAAAATCTGAAATTTCCAACCCTGTAGTTAGGTCCTGTCGGAGTACTCTCAAAGATTGCGAATCTTGCCTCCAAGTATGACTGCTCAATTCTTTGTAGTTTTCGAGATATGACGTTTTTTGCGATTTTTTCAAAATTTTTCAGAAAACTTGAATTTTTTTAACTTTAAAAATCTGAAATTCGCAACCCTGTAGTTAGGTCCTGTCAGAGTACTCTCAAGGATTGCGAATCTTCCCTCCAAATATGACTGCTCAACTCTTTGTAGTTTTCGAGATATGACGTTTTTTGTGAGTTTTTCAAAGTTTTTCAGAAAACTTAAATTATTATTAGTTTTTAAAAATCTGAAAACCCAACCCTGTAGTTAGGTCCTGTCGGAGTACTCTCAAAGATTTCGAATCTGGCCTCCAAGTATGAGTGCTCAATTCTTTGTAGTTTTCGAGATATGTTTTTTGTGATTTTTTTCAAAAATTTTCAGAAAACTTAAATTATTTCTATTCTTTAAAAATCTGAAATTCCCAACCCGGTAGTTAGGTCCTGTCAGAGTACTCAAAAATTGCGAATCTTGCCTCCAAATATGACTGCTCACTTTGTTGTAGTTTTCGACATATGACGTTTTTTGTGATTTTTTTCAAAAATTTTCAGAAAACTTAAATTATTTCTATTCTTTAAAAATCTGAAATTCCCAACCCGGTAGTTAGGTCCTGTCAGAGTACTCTCAAAAATTGCGAATCTTGCCTCCAAATATGACTGCTCAATTTGTTGTAGTTTTCGAGAAAATTTTCAGAAAACTTAAATTATTTCTATTCTTTAAAAATCTGAAATTCCCAACCCTGTAGTTAGGTCCTGTCAAAGTACTCTCAAGGATTGCGAATCTTGCCTCCAAATATCACTGCTCATTTTTTTTGTAGTTTTTGAGATGTGACGTTTTTTGGGATTTTTTCAAAATTTCAGAAAGTTGAAAATAATTATTTTTCAAAATTTGAAGTTCCCAACTCTATAGTTCGGTGTTGTCAGGGTGCTCTAAAGAGTTGCAAATCTTGCCACATGCGACTGCTAAACGCGACTGCTCAAATGTTTTTAGTTTCCGAGATGTGACGTTTTTCGATTTTTCAAAATTTCTCAAAGAACTTATCTACAAAGAAATTCTACTAATTCTAATTCTACTAAATAGAAAAATTGAAACTACATGCTTGATGAAGATACAACCTTATTGTCAGCGTACACCCAGGCGTTTCAATTCTTGCCTCTTAATATGAATGCTCAAATCCTTTTAGTTTGCGAGATAAGACGTTTTTTTTTCAATTTTTTTTTTCGGGAATCTTAGGTTTAAAAAAATTCACAAAATTTTGGATTCCTTACCCTATAGTAGGGTGCTCTCAGGGACTCTCAGTGGTTGCAAATCTGGCTTCCAAATTTCTCCAGAGGCCCATTAAGTTTTCGAGATGACGCTTTTAAAATGGGAATTTAAAAAAAATTAAAAGTTCGAAATTACCAACCCTGTAATTGGGTGCAGTCAGAGTACACTAAAAGTTTGCAGATGTTGTTTCCAATATATGCGGTTTTTCATGAGTTGTCGAAAAATTTTGAAGCACCGAAGGTGCGTTAATTGCTAGTTTGTTATTAAACTTAGATGGCGAAAAAAAGATACTGATATTTTAAAATTAATTATTTTTAATATGGAAAGTGCAGTTGTATGCTGTCGGCCATTTTGGGTTTTGTCTCGAAGTTTAAAATACGAAGATCTGAATTCCAGTAGTTTTGATGATTCAACATTTTAGTTTAGAGGTTGAAATTATTTCTATCGTTCAGTTTTTGAAATCAACAGTGTTGTTGGATTCCTCCATCTTTTGTCATTCAATAAAAGCAACTTTCTGTTTGAAGCACCGGAGGTGCGTTACTCACTAGTTGCGTGTGTATCAGTGTTCCCCGCTTAATCTACTGCGACGAATTGTTGCTTGTAACGAATTGTCGCCTCGCGAGTTCAGAGTCTTATATAGGTCGTGATGATTTTTTTTGTTTTCCAGGAAGTCTTAGTATTTGTTCAGGCTCAAGTTTGCTTTTTCGCGAATTGTTTTTTGATTTTTTTTTCAGTCTCAAATCTTTTTCACTTCACTATCGAACAGCCAAAGGGTAAAGGTCACGAAAAACGTGATCGACTTCTAATTTCGAAAATGGATTTTAATTTTTAGATTTCCAGCGAAATAAAATTCACCTATTGATCCAGTTTTCTCAGATTAGATTAGTTTTATCAAAAAGTGTCAATCGCATATTGTTTTTGACTTTCAAACTGCTATATGGTCGAATAGTTTTTCTTTCAATTTCGAAATTGAGACTTTTTTCACAAATTAAGTCAATTTTTTTTCATTGACTCATTTTTGTATTCATTGACTCGTTTCCAACGGTCTGTTGGCTATATTTTCTTTTTTTTCCAATTTCAACCTGTCTTTCGGTTATATTTTCAAATCGTAAGTGTGATAGAGAATGGATAGTTGCTGCTCTTGCAATCAGTAAAATTTTAAGTTAACCATAATTTAAGCACCGCATCGTTTGTGTCTGAAATTGGGCCAGTTACTGCGAAGTGTCCTTCATTAGGATAATTGAAAATCAAAGCTTTAATGTGTGCTAATTTGTTCTATCTAATTGAAAAGTTCAAAAAAGTCAATCAATTTTAACGTATTGTTTTTCCATTTCGAAATGTCCTGTCGCTATTATTCATTATTCAGATACCGGAAATACTGCGTATTTTTTAGTTTTCATTAGGTTTTTCTCGCTTGTCATTTTTAATTTGTCTCTTCGATAGTGATGAATATACAGCCACATCGCAAGAAGCTCGGTAAGTTCAGCTTCATTATTGTACAGAGTGCCAATGATTGTATAGCTAAGAAAACATCAATTATGTTATGCATCAATTGTAACAATGTTTGTGTATCTTGAAGATGAGCAAAATCAGATTAAAGTTAAATTAAATTCGATACTGACTTTTACTAAAATGACTACTCATTAAATACTGAAAAACTAAGACAAAATTGTGCACATTATTTTAATCTATGACTGAAACCGATAACTCGACCAGTCGGAGACCTATAGGTCCGGCGTCCGCGAGAGTTTTTGATTCCCGATCAAGACAATGGAGATCTAGAACTGTCCCGCCGCGGGATTCGGTTGATTCGAGTGGTACTAGTGGCTCTCGCAGAACAACGTCGCCATCGACAGTTCGACAGGATAAATCGAAGTCGCGTTTCTTTGGAAATTCGGGCGGACCCCAAACATCGACGATTGTCAGTTTTTCAGATTTTACAGATAAACAAGCAAATAACAGTGGAAATTGTTAGTTGTAACGAGTAATTTTCTCAAATAGCATAAATTACTCTTTTTTTTTCAGATATCCAGATGTACTTTTTTCAGATATCCAGTTATTTCGAGGTAATATAAACTTGGTTTATAGTGTCTGGCATTGTTTGGAAACCGGGTTCTATTTTAAAATTGATCTGGGGTATCGAAGGCTGTTTGGGTTTTATATGAATATTTAATTGGTGAATTGTTAAATTATTTGTTGTTGCCTAAAAAAGCACTCGTAATAGACACTTCTTTTCATCTGGTATGGTATGGTTCCTGTAGTCAGCTAGGATGTGGATTTTTTAGTACCAACAACGAGAAGGGCAGGTGCCGTGAACAAACGTGGAATTTCTCGGCCAAATTCAGTGATTGTGAAGACGGAGGAAGAGGAAGATCAGGATGCTCCTCCCCCTGTTCCAGCGCGAGGTGTGGCAGTCTCTGGCAACAATGTACAAAACAGTCCGGCAGATGCGATGTCAGGCGGAGTGAAGAAAGTGTTGCCGGGAGGCACGAGTTTGACTGTGTTGCCGCAACAAACGCCCCCTGCTGTGCAGAATACTAACACGATAAACAAAGTGGACTCACAACAGAATAACAAAGATGCCAATGGTGAACTATAAATCATTTTATTGGTTGTATAAACTATCAGAAACGGATTACCCTTCTGAAAATGGAAAGATTTAACTTGGTCTATTTTAATCAAAGTTTTGGCAAGGTGCAGCGAAGCTTGTGCGCTATTTCTTTCATGGAGCCAATCAATCGGAATTAGTATGTTTTAAGGTAAAGAACTTCACATGAATAGATACTCAAGTAGCTTAACTCTAACGCGGAGCAATATATTAATTTTGAAGTCGATGTACAATTTTCAAACATCTGATAGATCATTGAAGAGAAAGGCTCCATCGTTAGATTTCGAAATCGATCAAAAATATTGCGTGATCCTTGAATTAAACATGGATTTGATCAAGTACAGATTGAAGTCAGAAGCAGCGCCAAAAATAGGTTGCGTGGACCAAAATTCTTGTATTCCTTTAAAATCACTTCTGATTTGGTCAAAGCTTAAGTCATTCATTATGGTGTGCAATATTTTATACCTTTATTTGTGAGTAGAAGGTATTTTATTAAAAAATGCCTCGTTCTATTCAAACATTCTGATATTCCAGTGCGAAGGAAATCCAACTGCGTGAAGGAAGTTGAGCGAATGGAAAAGGAGCGTGAACAGCGTCGAGTGAACCAGCAGAAGAAGCGAGACGAGAAGGAACAGATCATGAACAAACTGAACAACGACGGCAACAATCCCAACTGGGAGTTCTACAAGATGATCATGGAGTTCCAGGACAGTCTGCAGTACAATCCTTTGCAAGGAAACGAAGCGGTGTCAGATCACCAGATATGTGTGGCAGTAAGAAAACGACCAATGAGTACGAAGGAAAAGAAAAGGAGCGAGGTTGATGTGTTGACTATCCCTGATAAACAGACACTAATTGTCCACGAGCCGAAAGTAAAAGTTGACTTAACGAAGTTTCTGGAAAACCAGACATTCAGATTTGATTACTCGTTTGATGAGAACGTGGATAATAGACTGGTGTATAAGTACACAGCTCAGCCACTTGTTAGGTCTATCTTTGACGGAGGAATGGCAACTTGTTTTGCATATGGACAGACGGGAAGTGGAAAAACACATGTGAGCTCTTTTTTTTGGCTAAATCCTAAATTTTAGTTTTTGCTTGATATAAAATATTTTTTCCCCTAGATTGATTCAGTTGGATGCTACCAAAGGGAACTTTTTTGTAAGTTTTTTATGCAAAATGACAGTAAGAATGTAGCAGTGTCTATTATTAGCTGTGATTGCATAAAGTTATAAAATCGATAATTTCTTTATCAGACGATGGGCGGAGACTTCAACGGGAAGACTCAGGACTCAACCAAGGGCATATACGCTTATGCAGCGCAGGATGTGTTCAAACTACGTGAGTCTCCCAAGTATGCGGGCCTGAATCTTCTGGTTTCTTGTAGCTTCTTCGAGATCTACAGTGCTAAGGTGTTCGATCTCATCAACGAGAAGAAGCGACTTCAGGTAAGCATCCCTGTTTTTGTCTTCATTTAAGCGTGAAGTACGTTAAGCAAATATTTTAGCATGATTTTGAAATGAATATTTGAATTATTTGTGACCTAAAAGTGTTTATAGGAAATATGTCAAGTTGTTTCACCAATTGAAGAGTTAGATATAAGCGGAGAGAAATGGCAAATGGAATGCCATGAATGAAGATTGCTTTTAGATGCTCATAAGCAGATCACATTTGCCTGCCTAGAAAAATTGAAGGAAAACCTTGTGTCTTAAAATTTAAACTTCTGGTCGTGATTAATTTCCAGAAATTATGCGTTTGTGGATTCGAAATTGAGCTTTTGGAAGTTAGCCAAAGATTAGTTAAGCTTAAATAATTTAGTTTCGTGTTTGACCTTCAAGTGTTGTTTTGAAAAATATTAATTGCTCATTGTTGTTTTGATGTGTTGTGTGCAGGTGCTGGAGGATGGTAAGGCGGAAGTGCATGTGAAAGGACTTATGGAGGTGGTGGTGAACAGTGTGGAGGATATCATGCAGCTGATCCACTTGGGCAATAGCACCAGGACTAGTGGCACCACATCCATGAACAACCACTCCTCCAGATCACACGCTGTCTTCCAGATCATACTCAGGCCCAGGTTAAACACAACATATACTCTATTTCTTTATACTAGTACGCAGTCGCAGACACTATCCTAAACCAGTTAGCATCACTTGTGTCGATCTTGGTGACCTGGAATATGTTCATCATCCTCTCTAAAATTAGGTTGTAATTGAAAAGTTGGAGTTAATTAATTTGGAGTTGGAGTTAACTTGTTTTGTTGTTGTGGTTGTTGTTCAAATCGAGTCCTCGAATCCTAGAAAGTTTGCGACTTCGATCGGCCGAAGCCACAGCTCAATTGGCGCAAGAGAAGTGGTGTTCTTGGAACAGTTGAAAAGGTATAAAGTTGTGTGGGGGAAGTACAGTGGGGGCATTTGGGTCTATTCTGTTTAGGAAGGGACTATAGCCGGACCTTAATTGGGCAAGGGTTCGGCTGGTGCCGCGAGGGAGGGAGTCTTCTGAAAAGGAGATATCGGGGGTTTGAGTGGCAGTAGTTTCGGGAGAGGTGCATCTGCAATAGCCTGTTTGCTTGGTGACGACTCAAATAATTTGATAACTACCTAGTTAAGCTTCCCGTTGCTCTGGTGTCATGAAGAAGATCTAGGAGAGTTCGATGTCAGACCATGTCGAAAGCTTTCGATAAGTCAAGAGTGGCAGAAACTGTTCTAGTTGGTGACCTTCGTTGTCTAAAAGCGTTATTTATCGAAAATTTCGAGGACTGATAACGCCGTTGTGGTTGAACGCATCGTTTGAAAGCCATGTTGGTGGTCGGCTTTCGTGAATAATTAAATAAGATCGGATGAATTAACGATTCTAAAACCAAATTAAAGACCTCAAATCGTCAGAATTTTTAATAGCTGTGCGTAAAATTTTTAATAGCTGCGCGTAAAACTGATACTGGGCAATAAAATTCTGACGATTTGAGGTCTTTAATTTGGTTTAAGTAGGGGTGCCACCTTTTATTTTTATAAGTATAATTTTGATTTTTCGAAGTATAATGTCGAGAGAAAGAGAGCGGTTAAAAATGCGCGTTTAAAATTTGATAGCTACCGGGCCAAGGTTTCAAATGAACCGTGCAAAGACCGGCTGGTCTTAAAGTTTTTGACGATTTCATTGATTTAATGCAGTTTTCCAATTCGAGTTAAGCTGAGTTTCAGAGCTTTTTGCTTGATTAATATTTGAGCTTTGTGTTTTCGTGTGCTCTCAGTTTCGTGTATGCTACCTTGCGATAGGTTTCTGCGAAAGACGTAGAGCCATTTAACGATCTGATCACTTTCCAGAATTTACAAGATAAGGTATGATGATTGAAAATCCTGGAGGAATTCTCGACATTTTGCTTTCCTCTTTCGCCGTTTCGAACATGATTATCTCTATTTAATTTGTTTAAAAGTAGATCTGACGGATTTGTTATCTTATTTGTTAGCAGATATCCTCAGCAATGGGGAGATTCGTTAAAATTGGTAGGTGATCTGAGTCTAATTTAAACATTGAGGATGTTGCGAGTGATTTGTCAGGTGATGATGTTGATGAATTTCTATCATATGGCAGTCGAGTGTGGTGGTAGTCATTAAGTGAGGGTAAATAAGGATTGAACAATTTCGGCTCCTAGAGTAGCCCCGCGTCGATCTTTGGTATATTGGAGCTCAAAGTGCGAAATGAGCAATTGCATCGCCAGTATAATATTATTTTTTCTGAGAAGAGTTACAATGGTTGCTTTATAGTCCTTAACACAACTACTATGAGGAGGGACATAAAAGTTCGTGATACTTTTTGATTGTTAGCCTTTACCTTAACGCTTTGCGCCTCCAGAGTTTCGTCTTCCACTATTTCGTGTTCATCGAAGAGAAGATAGTTGTAAATTGCTTTAAGTAGACCTCCTCCTCCTCGCGGTCGGCCTTCATAAGTAAAGTGTACTTAGGCCCTAACGAGGAAGTGCGGTTTTTCGAATTGAGTTTGGTTTCATGAAAAACCGCTATGTGAATGTACTCGCACAATATAGCTGATATTTGATGTGCTTCCCCAGAGATGCCATTGCAGTTCAGCTGCAGAATGTTCAGGGACTGAGTTGACGGTGAGGGTGGATTGGCGTGGTTACTAGGGGGTGTTTGTTGCAGTTAGTCGAACTGTATAAGTATCAAGGTTTAAAATCATGGGGGTGGTATTTGCTGGGGGTAGTCTAGTTGAGGAAGGGATAGAAGTAAGTCGGGAATTATTTGCTGAATTTGTTACCACTTGGAGGGGCAAGATGTAATTTGCTGTACACGTAATTTGCTATACAGTTAAGTCTGTGATGATGTTTGAAAGAAAGAAAGAATTAATTTCTCAATGTTACTAGAAAATTCATATCATATTGCGCATAAATACATCAGTATCAAAGAGGGGACAGCTAACGATCCCATAAGGGATACTAAATGCTGCCCAAAGAAATATTAGAAACATGAATGATATAGTTAGTTGGGTTTCAAATTATTATGAAATCTAGTGCATAAATTCTACATATTTGCAAAAATAGAACGAACAAAAAAAGGTGAAATATGAAATCATACATTAGAGGGTCTAAAGGCCTTCTCAGAAATGGCATGATTTATCTCCGTTTTAAGTAACACACAACATAACTTAGTTTATTTAAAACAGTTGCAAATTTTAATGAACTGATTATAATATTAACCTAAAAATACAAGTTTTTTCCTTTCATTTTAAGCCTTGGGCATGAATATGAAATTTCTAAGTGATTTTTAGGAAAAACGGAAAAATTGGGCATAGGTTCCCCCTCAAGCGGGCCATTTCGGCCCATTTTGGAAAAAAATTATGTTTTTTTTTAATTCTTAATGGATGCGCCACTTTTCCGAGACTTTTATTCAGTAATCTAAACTCACAAAGAGTCCGTCGTACTAGGTTTTCCGGGGATTCCGTCAAAAAAATCTCGGGTCCGTGGAGCAGCCATGGTATTTTAATAATTCCTATTAATAAATCTATTTTCCATCTATCCATCATATGCAAAAAAATATATCTTTTAGGAATAATTCAATTTAATTCTGGCAAAAGATATATTTGATGAGTTCTTCGTTGCTTAGAATGAACAGATCTCTAATTCGGTGAGCCACGCTTTGAATATTTGCCTGTGAAAAATTAGTTTCAGCGTGGTTAGACCACTGCATTTTAAATTAATCCATCCTCAAACGTGGCATCATACGCTTGTTTGGAAATAGAGGATTTTGTTATCACATTGGGAGCAGGTAAAAGGTCTGGGGTTGGGATTTATGCCGGCTTGAAGGAGAAGTATTAGGGTTAGAAGATGGGAGCAACCCGGCCGACTTAGAAAACTTCGTAGCCAAAAACCCAGTCCGAGCAGGCTTTTTGCGCTCGACTATTGGGGAGGATACGGAAGGTGCCATGTGTGGCTGTTTGTACAACCGTCGGGTCCACCACTAAAAGGCGGTACTTCTGAACCGATAAGCCTGTCTTGCAGTATTCAGTTCTGTTAGCTCACTCATTTTGTTCTGTATCAGATGAGATTTAAAATCAACCGCGATTACATGATCTGACAAACAAAGCAAGTTGCATGCTAGGACCAACTGAGTAGTAATAGAATGAATTCAGGTATTTTCCGCTTGTTTTAGCAATCAAACGACCAAGTTACATGGCAAGCTCTCTCTGATCGACTTGGCTGGAAACGAGCGAGGCAAAGACACAATCAGCTCAGACAGGGGCACCCGTCTGGAGGGAGCGGAGATTAACAAGTCCCTTCTGGCCTTGAAGGAGTGCATCAGAGCACTGGGCAAACCAGGCGCCCATTTGCCTTTCAGGTCCAGTAAACTGACACAGGTGCTGAGAGATTCATTCATAGGAGACAATGCCAGAACATGCATGGTGAGTTTTCGTGGCTACTGCTGCACGCTTTAAGCTCCCGAAAAATATGATGGTTAATTACAAGCTTCTCAGACCTTTTGACTTCGAGTTGTGGCAAGTTTACATATACTTATACAAGCGGGTTTGCGAGCCCAATGATACAGCATCAGTCCACTCAATTTGGTTCAATCGTACAACTTTACCCTCCTCGTAAATCAGATCAGGGTTACAGAATTTTCTCAACTTAACTTAGCGTAAATTGTTTCAATTAACAATTTTGTTTGAGAAACTTTACAAAAAACATTAATTTTTTTGATTAACAGTATACAAATACCCTCGGAAATTTCCAAGCCAATTTGAATCGTATTTGTTCGAAGTGTATCTTTTACACTGATTCAAAAAAAACTTATACGTAGCCAGGAGTGAGATTACAAGAGGTCACTTCGGGAGGAGATTGTACAGTTGATTGGCACAGTTTGCTGAGTTTTTAGGCGTTAATTAGACAGCATATCGATTTGAATCAGTGACTCTTGGTTGGTTGGTCTGAGTTATAATTCTCCCAGTCATCGATGTTTTTCAAGTGTCACTGAACCAAAAAGACACTAATATAGGTCATGTTGAATTTTTTTCTACAATAAAAAATCGCAAATGTTGTTGACGCTCAAATTTGATTTTTCGCGGTTTGACATGATTTATTTTTAAGTTAAGTAGTTCATTTCTTTTGTTAAAAGAAGGAAAACTCCGCTATCGATCTGCAAAAGTTTAGAGGTCACGAAAAACGTGATCGACTTCTGTCAAAGAGTTTTAAGAGCATCTATTTTTAAAAGTTCTTGATGAGATTTTTTCAAAAAAGGGAATTATTTTTTGTGTACTTGCGTTCATTGACTCTTATCCACCTGTCTGTTGGCTATGTTTTTATCAGTAAAGCGCCCATCGTATTTTGTTCTCCCAATTCAAAGAGCTGTAAAGGGCATATATTTTGTCTTGAAGTTCGAAAGTTGAAGTATTTTTTTCTTCGTTTCGTATCCTTTGTCTCTTTTTGACCTTCTCTTGGCTATGTTCTTGTTTTTAAGAAGTGCAGCTTTGCGCCTGTGTTACTTGCTTCACACATATTCGTAAACAGCAAAACATGGAACCAGAAAGTATAATGCGCGGATCTCATCGGCTGAAATTGAATCAGTTGCGAGAACATAATTCAACTCGTCACTCAATTAGTAAATAATGTGTTTTCTCAGGGGCTGATTTAGGGGGGGGGGGGGGGGGGTATCGGACGCCCCCCTCAGGGATTTGACCCCCTGCCGACCCAAAGGGTCCCCCCTTTGGTACTTCTTAAGAAATCTATTTTTTGCCGACCGACCCTAAAATTTTTCTAAAGGCGCCTTGGGCGCCAATATAAACTAACTTTGAGAGAGAGCGCGCGCCAAAAAAACGCGATTTTTTTGTCAACATTTTTCAAAAAGTGCCCAAAACGGCTTTTTTGACCTGTTTTTTTTCAAAAATTTGCCTGCGGCGCAGAAAATTTGGCCTAAACAGGGACTTTTTAGTGCTTTAGAAGAGCTCGGAAAATCAATTTGGTAGACCTAAAAAAAGGTCGTCAAAATTTTCGAAAAAATTTTTGAAAATCCGCCCCCCCCCCCCCCCCCTCGGAAAAATCCTGGATCCGCCCCTGTGTTTTCTAACTGATTTTTTTTCGCGGATAATAAAAATACGCGTTTTTTATGTTTCGTGTGTTTAGAGCTGTTTTGTCGTTTTTTTTGCTGTTTTTTGCGAGGTGCTGGTTCTCTGTTAAAACTGGTAATGAACGTAGTGAGAACTCTTATATAGGGCTTGGTGATTTTTTGTTTTATTTTTCAGGAAAAATTCTTTGAGTTTGTTCACGCTCAATTTGATTTTTCGCGGTTTGACTTGGGATTTCTTTTCAAGTTCAGTGCATTTCCATTGTTAAAAGGAAGGCAAACTCCACTATCGATCAGCAAAAGTGTAAAGGTCACGAAAATCGTGATCGACTTCTAAATTCGAAAAAGGAAATTAATTAACAGATTTCCCAGCGAAATTAAAATTTTGCCTATTGATCCAGTTTTCTCAAATTGGATTAATTTTAACAAAAAAGTGTCCATCATGAATTGTTCTGCAATTTCAAAGAGCTGGGAGGCCATCTATTTTTTCTTCGAAATTCAACAGTTGAAGGTTTTTGAAAAAACATGTCATTTTTTTTATTGTTCCGACTTTCGATACGAAAGTAACGGAATATTTGTGGTCGGGGTGGGTTTTTTTTTTCTTCAGACAAATTTCGACTTTTTAACTAGCCATTTTTGACGGAATTTTTTCATATCAATCCAAAGGTATTGTTGTCTTGAGCTTAAATTTGAAAAAAATTTTTCACCTGTGATCATTTTTCGTAGAGTTATGAGGGTTTAAAGATTGCCATTTTGACCAATTTGGGACAATTAACGCGCGATATAGTTCGCGCTATTAACGCGTAAGCGGAGATTTAATCCGTCTTATAAATCGTTCCAAATTGGTTGAACGAAGCTTATTTGCCATAATTGATTTGTTACAAGGAACGAAATCTATCTTTTTATACTTTATATGGTGTGTGGGGGGATGATTTTCAAAAAAAAAATTCAAATTTTGGAAAAAAAAAATTTTCATTTAATTTTATTTCATTTAATTTTTTTATGTTATTACTGCTGCTCCATAAACCTTAAAAGGCTGTCGGAACATTCAGGGCTTCGCCCTGATACGAGCAGTCTTGTTTTCCTTGCGTTCATTACTCTTTTCCAACTGTCAGTTGGCTATGTTTTTTCGTTTAGCGAAACAAAACCTCCTTGTACAAATCTGAGTCTTCAACTCAGGTGATTCTGTTTTTAATGATGCAGTATTTATGCATTTTTTTAATACTGATATGGTACGTCCCGCCCGTATTTGGTCCAGACACTCATTGATATAATGGAGGTACCATCTTTATTTAATTCCGCTGCATAGCAGAGGTATATTTATTGTTTTAGCATACTAGGTGTTCATGGATTTGGTATTTGGAAATCAGCTAGCTCTCAAAGAAATGTGCTGTTTCATATATACTAATGAAAATGTATCGGGTTTTCTTGGACAATGTTTGATAGTATGTTCAATCTTGTGTTGTGGCTAAACCAGTCGTTTCAAAAACAAGTTAGGAAAGGCACGAAGTGATTAATTGGCAACCAAACATAAATGTACTGGAGTTATTTTTAGACTAAATATGTAGTTTTTGCAGTCTTCTAACCCTTTTGCGATCACAGTTGATAAACGCTCAGCTGAAACTTTGGTCTAATTGTTGCCTAATAAAATCGATTATAAGCGTGTGAGTAGTTGCCGCTGTGTAAACAGTGTATAAATTGGTTACTGCTAATTTTGTTTATTTTTATTGGCTGCTGTTAATTAATTTATGAAAATTTTGGATTTTCTTATAATTGCTGTGACCACCGAAGGTGAGGAAGAAATATTGCTTAAAGTTTTTTGTTGTCGAATCCAGCTTTTTGCTAGATTTGCTTATTGAGAACGAAGAGTTGAGTTCGCTCTTCACGCCAGGAAAATTCGTCGACGAGGAAACTGAAAGCAACCAAATATTCTTGTTTGCTGTTTAGATTGCTATGATCGCTCCAGTGTTTACTTCATGTGAGCACACCCTGAACACATTAAGATACGCAGACAGAGTGAAAGAACTGGGTGTGTCTGCAGACGGGGGAACTATTATGGAAGAGGCCGAGTTAGAAGTCTATGACCCTGATGACCCCCTCAACTCCCCGAGTCCTTCGAGGAATGGAACGGGAGGGGTGGTGCCTATTCAGGGCACAACTGGGGGAGAGGCACCCAAAAAGAGACGTTCAAACAACAGTTCAATGGGGCTGCTCAAAAATGAAGACGTCGAGGCGAAGATGATGAGAACCCATGATGTAAGTTCTAGTTGAAATTATCTGGAGATTGTTGTTACAGTGACCGTAAATGACGGCATTCTGTATAGACGACTTTTTATAAACTTACGAACGCCATTATGAAATTGCTGCATAACTTCTTGAAATTGCTTCACGAAAAAAAAACAGGCAAAATAAGTTGCTTGACTTAGAAGCAGGCGGAGATCTAAGTTTTAATCATATTTCGAATTTTTGGATGTTGAATATCTATTGGCTTCAGAAAAAAATATTTGCTCGATCAAAAATGGGTGTTCAAAAATAGTGCCTAAGTCCCCAAAACCCCCTGTCCCCCTAACTTGCTGCTCCTCAGGAGTTACTGCTGATGGAATCTTTCAAAGTTGCATTGTATTTCAGTTTTTGCCAATGACTCATAATGACTCGGGATCTATTTGGCGCATCATTGCATGCTTCTTAACTTAGCAGTTGTTTTTCATGCTCGCATCATTGGTTTTTTAATGGAGTTTAGATAATGAAACGATAAATTTAGTACCAAAAACATGAGATTACAGTCAGTGAACCAATGAGGTTTTGATTTTAAAATAGCTGGCTTTGCTGAGAACTCAAAAAAGCAAATGCGTATCTGAATAAAAGACAAGGTGTTTTACAGGTTCAGCCTGGTGAAAACTTTGGTTAATTAAAGGTAGCAAAAGTTTTCTGTAAAAGATCATATTCCTAAGCTATTGAAATTGCTAAGATTTTTCAGTGGAAATGCAAGCAAGCTTGAATTTTGTTTTTGCTTCTGAAGGCTTAATGAATAAATTTGAGATTTAGTGTTTTGCAAGTAGTTGTGGTGCGCAGAAAAGTTTCAGCACAATGGGTCGTCTCGTTTCAGCAAATACAGTATATTCGCCCTCCCTTTTTCTGGAAATTTGAAATGAGAAAATTAAAACAAGAGCTAATTTTAAAATGGCGTAAAGAATTGCTCTTCACATTTTTAATCGGTACTAGTTTTTTTTCTCGATTGTTCACAGGATCTCTAATTTCAAGATCTCCATTTTCAGCACATTTAATACCTCTAGTTCCCGTGTCCAGTGTTAATGCATTACTGGATCTACTGGTGAAAAAAAATTTTAGATGTAAAATTGTTTTTTTTTATAGGCTTTCAGAGCAATTTCATTTCAAATTCATTCAAGGTGATGGCACAGCGTATTGTTCAATTACTTTAAAAAAATTTCAAATTATTCTGAAAAAAAATTCTAAAAAAAATTTCCCTTCCTTTGCGTTTTAGCTTCATATTTGACCAGATTGATGTAATTAGGTTAATATTATAGGCTTTCTATTTTTCCTGCAAATTCTTTTTTGTAGTTTTTGTTTGAACTTTATTGTATGCAAGTTTTTTGGTTGGGTTCAAACTTGGGGGCTCCAGCCATTAATCGATGTCTCATAAATGATCTCTGATTAGCTTCATATTTCACAAGTTTGATGTTCTTGGATTAATTTCCTGAAGCTAATCAGAGATCATTTATGAGACATCGATTAATGGCTGGAGCCCCCTAGTTTGAACCCAACCACAAAAACTTGCATACAATTAAATTCAAACAAATAATACAAATAAGAATTTCCAAACTTTACAGGGTTTGTAAAGTTTTCTGTCTTTTTCTGCAATTTCTTTTGTCTATTATTTGTTTGAAATTTTTAGGTTCATGTTTTATGAAATTTCTATGTTTTTTCGTTCATTTTTTTCGTTCATTTTGATCTTTGTTTTCAGAAACCAATCGAAAATGTCTTTTCATTTATCCGGATGTTCTTGATGAACATGCAGTTTATGCGTTTCTAAGATTTTTAGAGAAGTTTTTCTGGAGTTTTTGGATCATGATTTTTGAACCAAAACCTCTTTGTTTTTGTATCCTCTCTATCTAATAGTTTTCAGAAAAAATGAGGTTGTGTAATCTGAATACTCTATGTTTTTGGTAGTTGAGTTATATATCAATTGCAGAAAATTTCCTGACTTTTCAGCCGACGATTAATGCAGCATAATTCATTTAATTTTTTTTCGTATGGTCAAAATTATCTTTCGAACTTTGGAATGTAGTTAAAATCGAACTTTGGAATGCAACTTTGGAATGTGTAGAAATTTACTGCGATGGAACTTTTCATATTAAAATGTAACGTTTTCATATTAAAATGTAACATTCTAAAAATCAGTCGTCGTTGGTTTTTCAGAATTCATTTGAACGTTTCTGTATGGTTGACGGAATGAAACTACTGTTTTTGTTGTTGCAGGATGATGAGGAGGAGGAAGTTGGCGAGGACTGGTATGCGATGATGCCCCTATGTGACGAACTGAGAGATATGGAAGAGAAGCTACTGGATAACGTCAGAGGACACATCGAGGTCAGCACCACATTCACGTTATCATTCGAAAGTAGTATCAATTCAGTTGTTTCTGCTCAAAGGGATCTCAATTTGAATAGTTACACGTGATAATCATCTTTATATTATCATCATCTTCATCGATTATTATTTTTTGCACCCTGATCATATGCCCATTGGTGCAATTTCTAGACCGAGAATTTATTGAAGTTTTAAACCGAAAAGAAGAGTACCTGCTGTAATGTGAGGTAGACTGCAAATCGTAAATAAGAGCTAACAGTTGAACAAATACATCCATACATAGGCGACAATCGTTCGGTTTCAGATTCGTTCTCGCTGGACTTACCTGATTAACATATTCAGTATGTTTAGGTTGGGTTCAAACTTGGGGTCTCCTAAGGTGTAATAATTCCGCAGTTCGGTGCTTTCTAAAAGACGAGTTAAAAATATAGTACCCATTAATCGATGTCTCTTAAATGATATGTGTTTGTGTTGTTTATATAGCAAGAGATGGACTTGTCTGAGCAGAAGAGGAATCTGTACAACTCCACCAATAGCCCAGACTACGACATTGACGACTTCTCCGCCCAGATGGAGCGAATAGTGGACGGACAGCTGGAGGAACTGCTCAAAGTCAAAGGTCAGTCCACACTGTGCTTCAGTTTAAATCAAGAAGACCAGACTTGTTTCTCTTACCATGAGAAAATCAGTTTCTTTCTTGAGTGTGGGTGACATTTTTAGTAATTTTATCAGCTATAAGTGATAGTCAATTGACGAGTGCAGATAAAAATAGAAATTTAAAGTCTGTATAACCTGGAAGTTAAAAAGGCGAAATTTGATGATATGTAACCATGGAAATCCAGTTCATTTCTGCCAAATGTAATAGAAGTAAAATCATTCCCGGCTGTATGGTTTCTGAGCTGTAAGAAACATGCTTAGAATAATTAATTTGGAGTAGTGTCTGATTCATATCACCTTGAGTGATGATTTTATGTTAACAGAAGAGTTGGCCAATATCAGAATGAAAATTAAACAAGAGGAAGAGGCAGCGAAACAGATCTCAACAAAGAAACAGCAGAAGCAGACCAGCAAAAAGTAGTCTAGTCCACCCACACTAGCCAAATGCCCCTCACTCCCAACGCTCACCACACCACGCCATAGACTCACGCAGGCGGATAGGATAATTAACCGCGCCAGAAATATTAAAAAAACTGAAAAATAGACGTAACTCAAATGCAATTATTTAATTCAACAACACAACTCACTCTTACTGCAGCGAATTTAATGTCGTTTCCCGCCTACGCCAATTAACTATAATATTTGACTGTAGATAAAACGCAATTTTTATGTCAAATCTTCAATTTCATATCTAACTCAAACTTTTTGCGTTCTTTTTGATGTTGTATTTGAGAAGGGGGAATGTGTTTTTGCTTTGCTGTAAACGCTGTACAAAATGTGCTTTTCACCCAACGCCTTTTAAACTTCATAATTTTTAGTTGTTCAGAAATTCCACCTTTTTTGGGCTACCAGGATAAAAATTGAAAACTCATGTGTTGGTATAATGCCGTTGTAACGGCGAGGATTATCTTTGAATCACTGTGCGCATAAGATATGTCCAATTTCGAAGTTTTTGAAGATAAACTTTAAATACTTAATCTGAAGTTGCAATACTTGTAATTGTAATAAAGGAATATTTTTGCATAGATTTCCCATTTTTTCGCTGGATTTGAATGTGCCGTAGAAATTTTGCAGAGTAGTTTTGTATCCTAGCTTCCTATTCCATCCATCCTTCTGCCTTCATCTTAGTGTGAACAGAACAGTCCTCGGTGAACCTTTTAAATCGGAGTTTTTGGCCGGCCTGTTTTCAAGGTCATGTTTCTAACAATTAATGAAGGCGACTGAAATTCGAACAGCATTTATAAAATGTCACTTTTTAGCTTGAATTTGAATTGTTGAAATTTGTATGATTTAACGAAAAAATATGCCCTGAGGTGTTAACGAGTCGCCTTCATTTTCCTTTACTGTTTGGTGCTTTTGGAAATTTTGAAGACCAATTGAGTGTTAACACAAATGGTTTCCTTGTAAAAAGAAGTTAGATATTATTTTTGCTGTCTTTCATTTGTTGCTAACTTAGATGCATAATTAAGTTTTATTCAATTCCCGGGTCTTACTGGGGTATCCTAAACTCAAGGTAGTCCTTAAACAGTGTAGCCAGTTACACATGCTGCAATAGAACAAGTCCGCGAATCCAGTTTTTGGTATCAGAAGTGTGGAAATGCCTCGTCGCGATGAGCGGTCTGAACCTAAAAATACTAATTCGACCATTCACGGATTTAACTTAATTGATGATTTGTCGAGTTGACAGTTCGAATTTTGATTTCCCTTGACGCTCGACTTATAAAATGTAGAGCGTTGGAAGCGTGCTATCCGGCTAAAAGTCAAAAAAGCTTTAATATTTTAAACTTTTGAGAATGAGCGCAGTTGTTTATCGATAAAATCTGATATCTTTAGGATGCACGCCGTCGTACGGGAGATTTCAACCTTTTACGCGAAGGTCAGTTTTTTCAGCGCGAATAGTATGGCAGCTTTTAGTTCAAACTACTAAGCAAAGCTTAGCTATATCCGCAAAAAATAGCGTTTGATTGATAGTAGGGAAAGCCAAGAGGATATAGTTTAAAGACTAAGGTAAATAACTACTGGCCCGGACGTACAATTTCGAATTCTGTTTTACAAAAAATTAATTTTTTAAGTTTGATTTTCTAAAAACCCTGAAAATTTAATGTAATTCCTTAGATTTTACTCTCTTAGTTTTTGATAGCTGCTTTTTGCTGTTTTTTTGCGTGTGTTTACAAAGAGCAGGATCGCGTCTATCAAATAAATGTTTTTGCAAAACCCTTGCGAAAAGCAAGTATGTTGCAACCGGTTACTAGATATTTTCCCTCTTTACACTAGCGTCAGCTAACTCAACTCTGGCAGTTTTTTGAAATCATAATTTATATAAAATGTTTCTTTGTTTTCCGATTTGTGGCAAAGTTAGTGTGTGTGCCTTCAGTTTTATATATTCCAAATTAATGTTTGAAACATTGGCTATTTGAATTTGGTGCCACTTTTGCTGAATTGCTTTGGGTTTTTTTAGCATTTGTAGCTGCTTTACTCTTGACAAGTGTTTGTCGATGGTTAAGCGTGCATGGCTGAGTGATTAGTGCGTGAGATGCAAAATCTCTATATTGCAGTTGGTCACAGTTTTTTGCTAATTCGAAGCTTATTTCTTTTTTTTTATTGCGCTTTCTAGAGCTGCTTTTTGTCGTGTTCTCGCTAGTGTTTGCGAAACGAAGCTTCGCCTCTCTGTGAACGTTTTTGCTCACACGATTTTGCTTGTCAAAACTTAACAGGTGTTTTAACTTGTTTATAAAAAAAAATTTATTCAACTGCTCCAGCGCATCTGGCGGTGAAGTAACACATGCTTGAGACGAAAAAAAGCTTGTGGTTCAAACCCGACCGCGAACTTTAAGCAACTTTGAAATTTTCTGCTTTTTTTGGCGATCAGCCTTCTGTTTATTGTTTCGAATTAGTTAACGTTGCAAAAATTCTTTTGAAGATTTTAAGCTTTCCACCTTTCTGAATTGCATTTTTTGAAATTAAAAAAAAGGTTATTTTTTGAACTTTTTGCTTTGGCAAAAAAAGATCACTAAATTATGACGCATGCAATCATTATGAGCGTAATTATTGTTGTCGGCGTGTTACCGCCACTTTTTTGTTGAGATATTTTTCTTACTTTCATTCAATTTCTTTGGCATTTTAAAGTTTTTTGAAAGATTTTCATTCCGTACAAGTTGATACAAAGATAAGACAATGCTGGTAGATCTAGTTTTTCTCGACACTATCTTGTTTTTACAAAAACTTGGTTTGTTTTGCCGCTTTTGTCTTGATTTTTGTCTGCTTATGCTATATTTGTGTTGTACGCTAGTTTTATGTTCTATGGTTTTCATTCGGTTCAGTTTCCAAATTGGGTATACAACCTTGCATTCACTTTATAAGGCACTTTAGAAAACTTTGTTGGCAATAGTTTTGGGTTGATTTTCAGCTTATTGGCTGTCGGTTTTTTTTGTCGGCTTCCCACTTAAAATCTTGTTTTTCCTGCTAATTTTCGGTGTTAGTTTTAAGATATGATTCTACATGAGTTGTTAGTTTTAAGATCTGGTGCGGTGTTAGTTTTAAGATTTGGAGCACGATTTGAAAGCAAAAATTTTCAATCAACACTATCAATGAGTTATACAGGCAGGTGACTATTGGCCTGGTAGTCGTTCTTGCTTTGAATTTTGTAGCATGTAGAAAATTTGTTATTCGATTGTTTGAGAGATGTTTTCGTTGCTCCTTGCTCGTGATTTATATTTGCAGCTAGGTGTCTATCAAAATACTCAATCTATGCCATATCGTTTTTTTTCCATTACTTTGTCTGCTGTAAACATTTTTTTTTAAATTACGACAATCGTCGATTCATTTATTTCCAACCTTGCAGCCTTCTTTGTCGGCCGAATTGCAGCTTAGTTTTTTTTCTGTGATCATTATAATGCAGAGCATAAGATTTTTAATCCAACAATTGAAAATTGGCAGAATTTTATTTCTTTGAAACTGCTGACAAATATTACGAGGCCAAACTGTGCACTGGATAGGCGCACAATTTTGCGTCGGTATGTACTTTGATTCCAGAGACAAGTCTTTAAACATTTTTAATTTTTGTTGGAACGATCAAAGAGAATGAAAGAACGAAAGAAGAACAGGGAGCGTCCTTGTTGTGAATCCGCTGACAACTCACAAAATACACAGTTTGGCCTCGTAATGAATTTTTTTTTTTTAAATTTTCATAACCTTTTCAGTTTTGTTAAATTTCGTTATCTTTATTCAATGGGTTTCATTTATTTGATAAGCATTTGTTTGAAGATATAATAAACTTATGTTGTGTGAATGTTGCTAACTCGTTTTTCATCCTACGTTTCTTACGTGCGAACCGATAAAACTTTGATTTTAAAATTATTAATGTCTGTCATGTTTCGGCGAGTATATGAACATAACAAGACTATTCATTTATCAACTGAAAGTATATCGACGCTCTGAGTCTTTCGAGTGCGCGTCCTTTATTTCGTGTCAAAAAATTTTTTCATCAATAATTTCTCTCCTGATGTTTCCAAAGTGTTAAGTTTGTGAAAATCAAAACAAATGTAACCAGTTAGCTTGCCTGATAACTCGAGCGTACTGTAGTGTGATTATGCGTTGATGGCACTTTTGAAGCAGTAGGTTTCCTTAGCATTATACTAACACGTGCTTTGACTTTTGATTACTAATAAGTTAAGACAGTTAATGATTTCGTAATTCGTCAATTGAACCTAAAAAAGCTTTCTTAGCATTATACTAACACGTGCTTTGACATTTGATTTCTAATAAGTTAAGACAGTTAATGATTTCGTAATTCGTCAATTGAACCTAGAAAAGCTATTTGTTTCATACTACAATATAATAACTAAGTGTCATTTCAGAAACTTTCCAACTCGATATACTTCGCGAGATTTCCGACATACACGCAAAAGTAACCCTAATTGACACACAGAGACAGAAATGCAACTCCGCAATCACGAGCGAGAAAGCGGCAAATATTCAGTTTTATTTTGACATAAGTATATGCAAATTGCTTTATTACATTCTAATTTATTACATGCGAAGTTAGTTTGGTTTTCTTAAGTTTATTACATTCCAATTTCCTATATGCAAAATTTGAATGTTAAAGCTCCTGAGTGTTTAAGCTCCATTTTTAAGCTCCTGAATTTTGCCGATTTTTATTTTGTGATTGCAAAGTTGCAACTTTGCCTCTGTTTGTCATTTTGGTTTAATTTCTGGGTTAGTTTCGCTTCCCCCTCACTTCTGGTTGCAAAATTTTACCCAGTCTTACGAGATCCATTTTTGGCTGGCCAACATCAAACATTTACTAACGGCGCCTTTGGCGCTAATAAAACTAAGTTTGAGCAGCGAGCGTGCGTCGATAAAAAAAAACAATTTTGTTTTGTGGTTAACTATTTTTAAAAAAGCTCAAAACATCATGTATAGCCCGTTTTTTCAAAAATTCGCCTGCAGCGCAGAAAAATTTTGACAATATAGGTTCATTATAAAATTTTCGGAGAGCTCGGAAAGTCAAATTAGTCGACCTATACAAAAGTCAACAAAAATTTCAATTTTGTTTTTGAAAAACCGCCCGCACTAGAAAAATTTCCGTACTTCCTTCGAATGTCAAAGTAATTAAAACATGGTTAGTTAGCCCAGACAAATAAGGTCCTGAAAAGCAAAAAACAGAAGAAACAATTTTTGCCAAACTTTTAAGTTCGTTTCCGGTAAGTGGTCACGATTAAAAACCTGCGTTAATGCTGACAATTTTTTTTTCATTTGCTAAAAAAAAAAGGCTGTTTCCTTTTCATCCCTACGGCCACCTATGACTTTTACATTAAATTTTTTGTTCGCAAAGTTCGGTTGCTTGAAAGTTCAGTAATTGTCATTTTACCAGGTCTGATTTTGAATAGCTTACTTTTTTTAAATTATTTTTCATCTATATGGGGTCTAATGATGCTGCATCGGCTTTGTCAATATAATTTTTGTAATTTCGACAGGCAAAAATTCCTGTTAGACAAAATCACGATTTATGAAAATAAATGGGATTGTCTTTTTTAGTCTTTTGAGACGCTTTTGAAGTTCTTTCACATTTCAACAAAAGTTTCAGTTCAGTAGAAAGCTGCTCAACTAAAATTCCAAAAAGAAACGTATTAATGAAAAGAGCGCCTACTCCCCTGTGAGCTTGTATAAGCCCCTTGTCCCTTCGTACTTTACCCTACAGTCCCTATCCTTTGAAAATGTTTTTGGGGGAATATTTGACCCGAATGGATAGCACGCGTTATGAGAAGCTTACCTACAAAGCAGATGTGCCCAAATTTTTTTCACCAAAATTTATGGCAGTTCTAAAAATCAATAAATGGCTTTGTACAGTCTTTTGAAAATATTTGTTTTTTTTTTCAAAAACGAAACCTTCATATGTTGAATTTTTTGCGTTCATCAAAACAATTGTATAAATTTCTTCTGTTCAAGTGGCTATGCCAAGATATTTTTACAGAAAAAGGTTTGCTTCGATGAACAATCAAATTTTTTTTATTTTTTGATCATTTTTTGGAATAATTTTTACTCGAAAACAATCAACAAAAGTTTTAGTTCAGTAGAAAGCTACTCGACTAAAATTCCGAAAAAGCGTATCAATGAAAAGAGCGCCTACTCCCCTGTGAGCTTTTATAAGCCCCTTGTCCCTTCGTACTTTACCCTACTGTCCATATCCTTTGAAAATGTTTGTGGGGGAACTTTGACGTGAATCTTCATATCTGCCAGTTTTTAGGTTAAGTTTTCAAGTTCAATAATAAAACACGGTTTTGGTAATCCTTAAGCGGCCACGACTTTATAATTATAGGAAAAAAAGAGGTAGACTTCGGAAAGTCAAGTAAAAGGACACTAATTTTTTTTTAAATGTTCACTGTTCATTACCCGAGCAATAAGCAAGGGTATAGCAATCGGGTGAAACACTTTTTTCCATAAACATTTTTGTCCTCAGGACTACTTCAAGAGGATATTGAAGAAATAAAAAGGCGCTGACGTTTTTTTTTTTTGAAAAATGTTCACTGTTCATTACCTTTGCGATAAGCATGGTTATAGCAATCGGGTAATAGTTTTTTTGCCCGTAAACGTTTTTGTCCACAGAATCACATCCATTTATATTTCATGTTTTTTTATCTGGTACTTATTTTTATCAACTTAATTTGTAAAGCATGGATTTTGTTTTGACTGTACTTTTTACTATATTTGAAAGTTCAGTAATTTGTCATTTTACCACGTCTGATTTTGAATAACTTTGTTTTTAAAGGTTATTTTTTGACTAAATGGTTTCTACTGATGCTGCATTGGCTTAGTCAACTTATGTTTTGTAGTTCTGATAGGAAAAAATTCCTGTTTGCGAAAATCACGTATTATGGATATAAATGGGATTGGTTTTTTCAAAAATTTTTTGAGACGCTTTCGGAATTTTTTCAAATTTCAACAAAAATTTCAGCTCAGTAGAAAGCTACTTGACCAAAACTTTAAAAAAGCGTATCAATGAAAAGAGCGCCTACTTCCCTTTGACCCGAATGTATAGCAAGCATTATGAGAAGCTTACCTGCCAAGCGGATGTGCCCAATTTTTTTCTCAAAAATTTATGGCTCTCATAAAAGTCAATAAATGGCTTTGTACCGTCGTTTGAAAGTATTTGATTTTTTTTCGAAAATGAAATCTTCGTATCTTGAGTTTTTGCGTTCAATCGAAACAATTGTGTGAATCTCTTGTGCTCAAGCGGTTACGCCCAAGTTTTTTTACACAAAAAGGTTTGCTTCGAGGAACAATCAAATTTTTGATTTTTGATCATTTTTTGGAAAAATTCTAACTGGAAAACCACCCTGCCACTTTTTAGTAGCAGTTTTCAGTTCATTAAGAAAACCTGGTTTTGGTAATTTTTCAGCGTCTACGACTTTCTCATTGTAAAAAAAAAGAGATAGATTTCGGAGAGTCAAATTTTTGAACTTTTGATCTTTCTTAGAAACTTTTTGATTTTAATAGGAACTATCCTATCAAATTTGAAACAAAGGATTTAATGGAGAGAACCGGTTGGAAGAATTTTGTTTCTCACAAAAAAGCGGCGATTCCTGTTTTGTGAGGAAATGTTGTGGTCTTTGGGAAAATAAAATGTCTTTACAATTTTCACTCTTCTCAGTTATTTTCACTCTTCTCAGGTTTCGGGCAAAGTCAAATTTTTGAAACTTTCCGTTTCATCCAGCATAAAAAGTATGTCGAGCAGCTTTCTCCGAGTTTTACTTGGCCCCTGTTTTTCTTGTATTGAGTATAAGAACGTTTTGGTTTCTTAAGTTTTTTTCAACATACTTGTTTTATTTTTCGATTATTATGTTTTGTTATGTTTGTGTTGTATCGCACTTTGTTGAAACTTATATGGTAAAAATTGAATTTAAAAAGATTTTCCCAGACCTTAATAAGAAGCTTTGGAAATGTTTTTTGGAGTTTTCATTAATCAAAGTTTCGAAAAATTTGTTTCGCAAAACATCTACAGAAACATACGCACAGACGCACGCGTAATATGTTTAGATAAGTTCGTGGTTAATTCATCATCTCTTTTTTATTACCACGGCAAGCTAATCAAATTTAATGCACTCAAATAGGCCAGTTCTAATTTTAACCTGAAAACCATTAACCCTATTTTAGTTTTGAGGTCCATATTATCACTTCAATTCCCAATTTTTGTCGTCCATCATAATAACTGATCGTCTTTAATGCCGTTAATGGACTTATATGATGTTTTCATCAAAAAAGTTCACTTTTAGCTGAATTAATTTATTTAGAATTAAGGGAGAAAGTATTCCGGGGAAAATTACTTTTTTGAAGCATAGATTAACTTTTTTCATATCATTTAATCTTTTACATTTGTTGTTGAACAAAAAATTACAATTTTTTCAAAGTCTATCTTTGAAAACAAAAAATTTGAAAAAAAATGTCACTTGAAGAGACCAAAACAGACGTGCAGAACCAGGCAGTTCCCGAGGAGGTAGAGTTGGTTAGAGAAGTCCCGTTGTCACCCGCTTCCCGTCTGACTCAGAGGCGGCTGACGTGGAAGAACCAAGACAGGTCCTCATGGAGCAGCTTCGACTTCAGAACCAGTTTCGACGGAACCAAAGTGAGTAGTACAATATCATTGGATCTTTTTACTCCCGTCACCCACTTAGCCAAAATCAAACAAATTTTAACCAGTTCATTTTGTACAGAAATTACACAACGAGTTGCTATAGAAAATTGAAATTTGTAAAAGCTGTTGATAAAATGAAAAAAGCTGTATTCAGTTTCCATGCAAGTTAGTTGTAGATTGTGTCAAATAAAACTGTTTTTTGGCCAAAATATCCTGGGACGCGATCTATAATAAGATAAACAATAAACAGTCCCCGCAAAAATTTTTTACGCATGCCTTTGAATCCTTTGTGGTGATATTGAGTTCTGAAAGCAGGGGTGTTTTCAGAAAGGGAGCAGAACTCTGCGGAAATTACTAAAAAACTTATTCGAATCAAAACAGTTTTGAATAGCTCTAACCCCTTATGAGAATATAACAAAAAACGAATCTGAATTTTGAATTACGAGTGTTTTATCGTTTGCAGCGTGAAAATCTTGTGGAAGATTCGATTGCTGAGATGAAAACCAGGAAAGAACACGAGAATGAAAAAGCAGACAATGAGCTAGAGGCCGAATGTATTCCCAAACAGTTCCGTGTTGAGATTCGAAACTGCTCGCTCGCCACTCTCTCTTCAACCGCTGAAGTATTACATGTTAGTCCCGTCAAATTTGCCTGAAAAATACAAATTTTTTCTATTGCTGACTGGAGAATAGTTTATTTAGGAGAGTAATATAATACAGACAGGTAAACAATAAACCGCATGTACAAATCGAACCCACCAAGGATCATGCAAAAAGCTATGCAAGTAGTATATGTGTGAGCTGATCAGGGGGGGGGGGGTGGATGGAGACCCCCATGTATTAAGATAGGGAATAGAGTATCCGGTCTCCGAGCTATGTATTAAGATAGGGAATATATTTCCTATGTATTAAGGTAGGGAATAGGTTTCCCAATGTATTAAGATGGTAAGGTTTCAGATGGTAAGTTTCAGAAAAATTTTTGGCGCCCGATCTTACCATTTTTTAAGATTCTCTACACCAATGCGATAGGTTATAGATTTTTTCATTGTATTAAGATATTATTTTTATTTTGTTTTAAACCATTAGAGTTTAAATTGAAAGTGTCTGAAACTATGCTGAAACCTAACTGAAGCTTCAAAGAAGAAATAAAGTTTTTCAGAAAAAAAAACATAGGGGTCTTCCACCTCCCCCCCCCCACTTCATCTCCAACATAGGGGGGGGGGGGGGGGGGGGGTGGAGACGCCCATGTATTAAGATAGGGAATAGAGTATCCGGTCTCCGAGCTATTGTACCATCTGAAACCTTGCGATCTCAATACATTGGGAAACCTATTCCCAACCTTAATACATAGGAAATCTAATCCCTATCTGAATACATAGCTCGGAGACCGGATTCTTTTTTCCCGATCTTAATACATGGGGGTATCCATCCACCCCCCTGATCAGCTCACACATATACTACTTATGCAGCTTATCGAGGCATGACCCTGAAAAAACCTATGACAAAAGTTGCGAGATAATATCCGACTTGATGATTCAAAAAAATAAATCTACAAGATCTCCATTATCTTTAAGAAACAATTAAAACAATTTTTTGAAATACCCATTTAGTTGATGCTCAGTTAATTGGCTTAGGTTATCTGGTATCATCTCGTTTGATTTCAAAAAATTATAACAATTTAAGAGACACATTTTTCCATGAACGATGCATTATTTGTGATGTAGTTTTTATGCTTGGTAAAATTTTTGCCACAGAGGCCCGAGTAACCCGACGATTATTCAGAGATTCCAAATTAAACGTTTTAAGGGGAGTTTTACCTCGAAGTTGATTAAAAGTTTCTTTGAATATTTGTCTGAAATATAAGTCAAAAACGGTGTCAATCTCAAACGAATGTAGGATATATGAGGCATGCTCAAATTTTCTCTTGAAACAAATAGTTTTAAAAATACGTTTTTGCATCACAAATTTTTTTTCTATTAGGCTTTTTGATGTTGCGCCAAATGCAATTAAACCGTAGAAAATGAATGGCTTTGCATAGAAGTTATAAAATTTAAACAGCACATTTTCGAGAAATAGTTTCTACCCTTGAATAGTAAACCGTTAATTTTAGCTAATTTAACACAAACATTATTAATATGACTTTCAAATTTGAGTCTGTTGCCCATTTGAATTCCTAAATACCTAAAATCAGAAACCTCCGCTAGTACATTATTACCAAAAGAAAATTTTTCATTTAAGTTATCCCGTCCAAACTTCATTATTTTGCACTTCTTTTGATTTATGAGCAGTTTGTTATTATTGCACCAATTACATATTTTATTTAATTCTGTCTGGAACTTCGTTTTGGATGCAAATTTTTGAGCACCAACTACCGTTGTATCATCTGCAAATAATGTTAGCTTAACGTTGCTGGCCGACGGCATATCATTTATGTATAAAAGGAACAGAAATGGCCCCAAAACTGAACCTTGAGGAACACCTTTTGTACATTCTCGCATATTCGAGACCGATTGATTCGAATAAACATATTGTTTTCTCCTTATAAGATAGTTTGTCATTAACTTGTGAATTTTCCATCTGAACCCATATTGATAAAGTTTGTCAAGCAAAAATTTCCGATCAACTGTATCAAATGCTTTTCTCAAATCAATAAAGCAGGAGTATCCGAATTTGTTATTATCAATTGATTCACGAAAAAAGTCAGTAATGGACAAAATGGCTTGAATACAGGAATGATTACTTCGAAATCCAAACTGATGCTTATCAATCATGTTATTTTCAGCGGCAAAATTGGATATGCGCTTGAAAATTTGTTTTTCAAAAAATTTACTTTTTCAAGACAATAAACTAATTGGACGGTAGTTATCGGGCTCAGTTTTGTCGCCATTTTTGTACAATGGTAAAATTTTTGCAATTTTGAGAAAATTAGGAAAACACTCTTTTTCGAAGCAGATATTTAAAAAATGCGCTAAATGGTCAGCCAGCACCGGAGCAGAAAATTTTACCATTTTACTACATACCCCATCATGACCAGTAGACTTTTTATTGTTCAAGTTTTTAATTACTTCAGTATCTCATATCCATTGGTATCATATATAACGAACGTGTTTTTATTAACTGGAAAATTTGATCTATACACGTTTTGTTTGAAGTTTTCTGTTAGTTTTTCTACAATAATAGCAAAGTGTTCATTGAAAACATTAACATCCAGCGAAGCAGTATTCACATTTTTTTACCAAAAAAATGTTTTAAAGCATCAAAAATTCCGGACGAGTTCTTCTTCCTCGTTATCAAGTTATCATAGTAGCGGCGTTTACTCACCCTTATAGCCTTAATAACATTGTTCCTACATGAGGTGAAATTATTTCTGTTTTCAATGGATGGTGTCTGAACCCACTTTCTGTGTAACACTTTTTGGTTATTCATCATTTTCTTGATTTTCAGATTAATCCATGGGTGGTTGCTTTTATTCTTTTTTCGGATTTTTTTTGAGCAGTACTTTGAAAATTCATCAATCATGATTTGGGTCATTTCAATGATGTAAAGGTCAGTATCATCATCATTAAGTTTGTTCAATAGATTTTTTTGCAAAAAAAGAAATTTTAAACAAAAATCATCATTCAGTAGTAAATCATAGTTGAAATCCGATTTATAAGAATCCACGTTTTGCTTTTCTGAAATAATTTTTAGGTGGCACATAAGTCCATAATGGTCACTAATAGTACAATTTTTTGTTGTTACCTGAGTTTCCTCCGCCGCAATTATATGGTCAATGCATGTACTTGATATTTTAGTTACTCTAGTTGGCTCGATATTTTGAACTTCTAAATCGAAAGAAAGCGGAAGATTTTTGTAGTAAAAAAAGTTGCGCTGGTTACCTATAATATCGACATTAGCAAAATCACCCATCAGCAAAATTTCACCGCTTAATGCTTTCAGTTCAAGCAATAAATCTTCAAATAAATTCAAAAAAGTTCTAGTTTGAGATTTGGTGGACGATATATTATGCAAACATTTAGTGGAGTGTGATCGACAAAACACATTTTGATAACGATGTGCTCCAAACTGACTGGTAATTTAAAATAACTATATTTAAGGCCAGCTTTAATGAAAACTGCAACGCCCCCACCTCTAGCGTTTACGCGGTTTGCACAGACAATATTGTCATAACCTTCTAAGTTATATATGCCAATAGGATCATTGTCTTAGAGCCATGTTTCAGTCAGCCCGATTAATGCAGGCTTGTTATCAAAGGATTCAATTGAAACTGATAATTGGTCATGATGGGCTCTTATGGATTGAACATTTAGGAAAAATGCTGTTTGCGTTGTTGTCAGGTCAGTCATATCTCGCAAAAGGTTTTTTTTAATGGAACAAGAGAGATTTACGGCAAAAAACTGTAAATAGAGATGGAATGCTTTTGCCACTAATCAGAAGCGTTTTCACGATTATTTTTTCCGTTGTTGACGAATTTGGACTGTGGAGATTCTCTTTGAAGTGATTCCACAAATTGCACCAATTTGACGGGATCCGATACCCTACTGTACAGTTCATCAATCAGATGGTTTCTTTCCACATTTTTTGGGGTTAATTCTCTGTCACGTTTCCTCACTGAAACAATAGGAGGGCGAGAAAAGTTGTTTGAATGATTTTGTAACACACGAAGAATTTGTTTTCTGGCATTATTTGCCTGTCTTGTCATCATTAGATTCTTGTTATTGAAAATTTGATCAGCATCCTTAATATCAACTAAATTGTGCCTTTGAAATCCACCATCTGCTTTCAAAACGAAAACTTGAGGAGCACAATTATATGTAACTGTGTACATTCCCAAGCCCCGAGAATAATCAAGAAGCTCTGAATCGCGCTGAGTAAGTCTCTCTGTTATATACACTGGTTGCTTATTTACAGGGTGCAAAAAATCTTTCAATAACTTTTTCCTGCCATAATTCTGTTTTTTATATCAAAGTAGACAAATTTCACTATAACCCCACATTTTTGGTTTTGACTCACAGGGCCGAGGGGATGGCATGCCTTCAGGTCGTAGCTGTTCACCTCAACGCCCATAACTACATTAAAAAAAGGCCAGAACATGTTGGGTAAAATTTCCGGAACGTAAAGGTAAATTTTGCAAAACAACACAATCTTTTGAACTATATCTTTCCATTTCATTAACTTTATACTCTAGAAAATGCACCCGATTGTTCAATCCAACAATGATATCATCCTTATTTTTTACATTCTCAATTAGCCCTTGTAATAGGTCTTTCAATTTAGGATCAAAATTTACTGTATCTTTTATTTCATCGAATAAAGTATTGAGATTCGTCATTGAATAAGTGTGCGATGTTTTAAATTCGTGGCAAGCAAAAATAGCAGTTTAGAACCGACTGTTTCTCTTTGAAGGTCACCGTTTTTGACTGATAAATAAGTCACTAACTTTTGTTTTTTTTCTCAAATGTTAGCAAAAGCAATAAAACAAATAAATTTTTCAGCATATGTACATTTGCTGAGGTACTTTTGTTATATCTTTGCACATTTTGTATCAAAAATTTTTGTCAGCCGGTGAACTTTTTTGATGAAAACATCAAATAAGTCCATTAACGGCATTAAAGACGATCAGTTATTGTGA